TTGCGGTATGTCGAAATAGTAGTAATCTATGCTCATGACAGTAGGATCGAAGCCCGCATTAACGTGGGTAGCTGAACGGTATATATATCGTTGATGCGGTCACCACTCACACTAGCACCCACTATGGTCATCTGTGGCAGCAACACACATTGATGAAGATAAGGTGTGATAAGTGCTCAAGTAATTCATTTTTCTCTGTCGATCAGAGCAAATCGCCCGTTCGGTCGAATTTAGCAGCAAAACCGGATGCTAATAATGCAACAGGATGAGAGCTAAAAACCCGTTCACCAAATCACAACCGAATTCACGAGATGATGATGAGATCACCCAAGTGTATACCATTATCACATTTTGTGAAAAGAGCACAATAGCGAACAAGCTCGTCTTCGTGGATTCATCCACTGACTGATCTAAGTGTGATTTGTTTCTCCTCTGTGTAATGAATCTCAGTGAACCACCGAAACGAATTCGTTCGCCAGCGTTTTGTTCTCACAGTCTTTGACAATAGTATACTCCGACAGCTAAACACAAGCCTGAAGTCCAGTCCTACCAAAAGAACTCAGCAAGTGTGTTATGTTCCGTACTAAGTTGCGTATAGCGCTGACAAGATACTAAAACTGTGAGCGTTGGATGAGCTGTTTTAGTTGCTCTTCTTGCTGGTTGGAGAGTGTGAATGGGTCCAATTGACCTGTGCAGGTGTTTTGTATCGCGAAATACGGTCGGCTTCTGTCACTTTCGGGGTTTTCGTTTTTGCATTGTACGACGAATTTCTTCCAGAAATAATGGTAATTCCATTTTTTATATCAGAAATCGACACAATTCCATCAGGTTAATTCACTTCAACTTCGCTAAGAGTTGTGTTGTATTCACGTGGAACCTGAGCAGCATCCTTTATAATGTCTATGTTTAAGTTCGTTCAATTGTTCCAAGCCAGGTCACTCACTTACTAAGTTTACGAAAGAGCATCTCATCCTTCGGGAAACACTGTGAACTAAGAATTATATTTTGTGTACTTTTGATAAATTGAGGAGATTTTTTAAATTGAGGTTTAAAGGTGAAAGCAAACCTCGCTATTCATTCAATCCCTACACCGTTCAATCTGTTCTATTCTCACTAGATTCTTATTTGCTTTTTTTCAATAGCCACCGGGAGTACTACCCCTTATTGATTCTGTTTCAACGGACATCGTACGACGAAGACTTCTCATGGAAGACTTAGGACCGAGGTATGACCGCACTCAGTACATGTAACGCTTGTCATAGTTTGATGTTTACGTTTTTCATTACTTCAAATGGTAAACTATGGGTACAGGAGTGCGCAATAGTTTTTACGAAACTAGATTTATGTCGTGATGTGTGGGTTTGTGCTAATGAATGAGGTTGTTTATGATGTGGTCTGTAATAGCTGTGTCTTATAGTAGCATTTGATCTGATCTCTCCCTCATCTTTAATGTTTTAGTGTCAAATCCTTTTTGGTTCGATCGGGTATACCTCACCACGCCATTCTATCCCAACTTGACCAGGCTGTGGCACATTTTCGGTAAGTTCCTCCTCGTTTGATTACCAGTTACTCTGGCGCTTTTCACCGACAGGCTGACGAGCTATACTCTGCACCTGGATCGGATTCAACGGGCCATTGCAGCTCTGGCACTGTTACGAATTATGGCTTCTTCAGATTCCCTACTAGAAGCACTGTTGGACGAAGCCCACCTAAAATCCCTGTTGGATCCGGTCTATGAGGTTCCAGTGGACCAGTTTATCCAAATTGTTGTGCAACCGTTCCTGCAAACGAACGAACCCCAAAGCCATCGTGCTTCCTGAGCTAAAGTTACGACACAAACTCTTACGTCATTGCTTCATCGTGATCACGTGACTTCTACAGGTTTGCCGCGTTTTTTCATGATTAATTCGCCAATCAGCAACATTCGAAGTGCATTAGCGTAAAAAGACACGTATATGCAAAATCCTTATTCACCATTCATAACATATCGTGTCTATGTAGGTGGCTTGGCATTCCTACTTGAATTGACAATTGCTGTTTTTTTGGCGGAGGGGGTTTCTTCCACTGAAGTCGTTGGTGAAGTCAATAACGGGGTTGACGGCGTAGCGTATACTCTTGACAGTACAGTGTAAGCGCTTACGAACTAATCCACAGGACAGAGGCGGCGAAAGACAAACACTTGAACATAAGAAATTCTAATCTCCCATTACGCAAAATCTATATGATCAGTTCAAGCCCGAGTATTTTGAACGATAATCGAGTGGAGTACAGATAAAAATCAATCGACCATCATTGACCGCGGTCAGTTTTTGTCAAAACTCAGTGTAACATAGGGCTTGACCAAAGTTTATGTGAATACCATAAACTGCTCACTGAAGGTGATCACCTTGGTTTTGTGTGTGTATTGTCATCATCATCGCACAGCGAAATACAGGGAAGCGAACTTCACTGATCGCTATCGAATTCCAGAGATGTAACTCGTTGGGTCAGAGAGATGCACAAGCCATCGCATCACGTTAAACTGCAGTCTCGTCGTCATGACCCATGTGTCACCCAATCCAGTGAGCACACTGAGGTGGTGCAATGTTGCAATCGTGAACCTGAACAGGCCAGTGGTCAATGCTATCGTGTTGCCTTTCTTGGTTCGACGGTTACAGATTGGTTTGGCGCAGAACGATGCTGTTTGTCCGCATCTACTCTCGCAGCAGACACGGTGAAATTCTGGGC